TNNAGNNNCTNNNNTNTNNGNTNNCTATNTTGGTTATCTCTTTGGCTTGTTTTGCATATCGTGTTTCACTTATTCTCGTATTTCGTTTTCGGAATATGATGGCAGGCAGTTGCGGTTAATAAGCAACTTCAATGCTTCAGCCATGGAAGACGAAGCAATCTTTCTTTCACGCTTCGCCCCCGCTTGAGTGTTTCTTGCGCTGTAAGCCTTTGCCTTCTCTCATATGAAGTTTCCACTCAATTAGATGTATTGTTTTGCGAATCTAATTCCCGAGCCAATTCAACATTTGTCCTTTTCGATTGTTTGTGAACAGGCAAAAGCTGAGACAGTGGACAAGGTGTGTGCAATTGTCAAAAAGCAACTCTCACTTAAAGAGACCGACAAAGTTACGGCTGCGACTAAATTTGTTGAACTTGGTGCTGATTCTCTTGACACGGTAACCTTGCCATCCATCTCTGTTTCAAGCTCACTGGACTTATTGATTGTCTCACCATAATGTTTAGATTGCAAGTCCATGAAGCGTTGCGTTCCTTATATATATTCCTGTTTATTGTTTGTTAATCAACAACATTTGGAAATATTGACAGATTCTGTGATTTGACTCATGGCTCTTGTGTGGGTTTCAGGTGGAGATTGTGATGGGATTAGAGGAAGCGTTTGGAATTGAAATGGCGGAGGAGAAAGCGCAGACAATCACCACAGTTGAGCAAGCAGCAGAGCTCATTGAGGAACTTTTGACTGAGAAGGCTTAGTAGAAAATCATTATTACATAAGCGCAAAAGGGGAAACCAAAACCCAAATGGACCGTATCTTCTTATTGTTTGGTTCGCTATAGAGACCCACCCAATTGTGTCTGTTGAGATTTTATCTTTATTTTGGGCAAATTATTATATGGCTTGTCTGTATTTGACTTATCTCTCTCTATACCTTTTTTTTATTTCTTCCAAAGTTACCAAACCAAAGTTATCTGGATAATTCCTTCTTTTCTGATAATAAAAGTTTGTCGCTTATCTTTGTTCATCCTCGTCTTACAAACATATCTAATCCTAAATCTACCATTCTCAACTTCTAACTCCGTGATTCCTCTGAAATCATGCGAGAATCCTATTTCCACTTTCTCTTCTCAGAGTAACTAGGCAAGCTTTCACTAGCTTCTTAGTTTTCACACCCCATTCATAACTAATAAGCAAGCCCACCTGGTTACTTCTTAGTTATCACATCATCATACAAATCATAATTGCAGCCCGTCGGCTGGACTTTACTCCGATCCCAAAGGAACACTACTCTGACTCCACGAAGCCTTTCTAGTAGTCTCCCATACCGTTAGGTTTTCGTGCCACCTTTTTATACGAAACACAAACAAGCTATCATAACCAATTTATATTATACTAGACTCTTCCTAAGGTTCACAATCATACATACTATTTTTGTATCAGCCTTAGATCATATATTATATGTTCTCAAGCAATAGCCAAAGCATTTTAAACAATAGTTTTTCCCCGTATGATCGGCCCTAGGTAAGTACGATTATCCCAATACATTAACCATGACAACATATATGGCGATACATTGACCGTCTCTGCAGAAATACACACATAACAAAATATTTGTTAGTGGTGGAAAGGATCATAAGCTGAATTGGATTAGGAGAATCCTACCTTCCCATGCCTTCCCCGCGCCAACTTAAACACTTCTCGCAGCAAAGCTCACCCATAAACTATATTGTCGGGTTGACTAGAAATGGTCTAGTAACAATCACAATTACTCGAGTCATTTCCTATTTGGCTCACAGACAACCCCTATTGGACTGTCGGATCCAAACAAACAAGCAAACCATTGAATAGATGATTTCTCTCAAGAAAGACTTCCACTTTAGCTTTACTAGGGTTTTTAATGAGTTTCTCTCAAGCAACATTTCAATTTGCTCGGTTCAATTCCCATCCCTCTCTAAGACATCCTTGTTTCCGAGTGATCGGAACAAACAACCAAGTAAACTATGACTAGAAGTTACTTTCTTTCGAGTAATAATTTTACCACATCTCTATTTCACAATTTAATGATGGACGAGAAACTTACCAATTACTCGAGTAACTTCTCATTTCCCCCTTGATAGCTCCTTTGAAATGGTATTTTATGGCAATGCAAGACTCTATCGGCCAATTAAAATTTTCATCAACCCATACTCCTAAACAATCATCTAAATGAAATTGTAATTTGAGATTAAAGGGTGATCTGCCCATACAAACCGCAGGGGCGAATTGAGAAGTTTCTAGTACTGGGGACAAAATTATATTAACAAATAATATTGTTATATAATAAACTATTAAATAAATAGTTTTTTTTTGTCACAATAAATAGTTATTAAAATAGATAACATTATAGTATGGATTAGAATTGTCAATGCTAATAAACTAAAATGAGCATTTATTATGATGAAGTAATTATGTTTTTGTTTATGCATTTGACTTGGTAAGATTGGGGGGACAACAAGATTTTATTAAGATTGGATTTTTATTATTATTCTATTACTCTTTTTCTGTATCATTTTAAATGATT